AAACTACATTGTAAAAAAACTTTCATTTCATATTTCGTTAGTGACATGTCACATTCTGATAATGCCATGTCATATTCAAACAGTGTCATATTTAGTAGTGTCATATTTAGGTAGTGTCATATTCAGGTAATGTCATATTCAGGTAGTGTCATATTTAGGTAGTGTCATATTTTGGTAATGTCATATTTAGGTAGTGTCATATTTAGAAAGTGTCATATTTAGGTAGTGTCATATTTTGGTAGTGTCATATTTAGGTAGTGTCATATTTAATTAGTGTCATATTCAGGTAGTGTCATGTTCTATTCAGGTAATATAATTTCATATTTAGTTAGTGGGACGTCCTGTTCAGGTAGTGTCATGACATATTCAGGTAATGTCAGGTCATAATCAGGTATGTCATGTCTCATTCAGGTAGCTTTAGACTGCGCAATGTCGGTCACTACACAACAAGTACTTGATCTCCAATAATTTTGATTCAATTAAGCCGATTAATTAATGAGATTTTAATGTTTCTGCTATTGATTTTATGACGTAAAGATAATCCCAAGTGGGTTTTTTTTTCGCTAAGGAAAACATGTTTTCTTTGCGAAGGGAGATAATTTTCCCCCAAAGAAATTTTTGATTATGCCTAAATAAATATTTGGTTTTGAGATGTGTTGAGGTCGTAACGCATTCATTTTCCAATCCAATCACGCATGTCGTCACTTTGAAAGTTTGAAGTGTGTACGTTCAATCATAAATATGTTTAGCTGGTTTGTTGCAATTCATGAAGTGTGTGCAGTTATTCAGTTGCAACTCTTGAAGTGTGTACAATTATTTAGTTGTAATTCGTGAGTGTGTACAATTATTTAATTGTAATTTGTGAGTGTGTACAATTATTTAGTTGTAATTCGTGAGTGTGTACAATTATTGCAATTCATGAAGTGTGTTGTGTACAATTATTCAGTTGCAATTCATGAAGTGTGTACAATTATTCAGTTGTAATTCGTGAAGTGTGTACAATTATTCAGTTGCAATTCATGAAGTGTGTACAATTTTTCAGTTGCAATCCGTGAAGTGTGTTGTGTACAATTATTCAGTTGCAATTCGTGAAGTGGGTACAATTATTTAGTTGTAATTCGTGAGTGTGTACAATTATTGCAATTCATGAAGTGTGTTGTGTACAATTATTCAGTTGCAATTCATGAAGTGTGTACAATTATTCAGTTGCAATTCATGAAGTGTGTACAATTATTCAGTTGCAATTCATGAAGTGTGTACAATTATTCAGTTGCAATTCTTGTAGTGTGTACAATTATTCAGTTGTAATTCGTGAAGTGTGTACAATTATTCAGTTGCAATTCATGAAGTGTGTACAATTTTTCAGTTGCAATCCGTGAAGTGTGTTGTGTACAATTATTCAGTTGCAATTCGTGAAGTGGGTACAATTATTCAGTTGCAATTCATGAAGTGTGTACAATTATTCAGTTGTAATCCATGACGTGTACACATGAAGTGAACATTTGAAGGGGGACAATGGGGGGTGAATGTTGTTTGTACTTTGTACCCTGTCCCTGTTCAATCCCCGTGCTGTGAGTTGTGTCAGTCACGTGATATATTCCGGTGTGTACATGTTTGTGTACGTGTATATAAGGTGTGTGAGTGCGTGTGTGATCGCCTCACTTCAGTCCAGTTCTTCTACCAGGTTAGTGTATGTTAGTTCTGTGTACTTTTAGCTAGCCACTGTTTCGTAGTTTGTGTACGTGTATATAAGGTGTGTGAGTACGTGTGTGATCGCCTCACTTCAGTCCAGTTCTTCTACAAGTTTAGAGTAGGTTAGTTATGTGTACTTTTAGCCACTGTTTCGTAGTTTGTGTACTAGCTTATGTTACAATTTTAAATGGCCCATGTTAACGGCGCTCTTGATTACCGATTACATCGTGTCAGTGTGTTCACAACAGTACAATGATTCAGTAGCGATTGATGAAGTGTGTCCAATTGTTTATGGTGATGTAAAAAATGTGAAATAGTCTTCAGTTGTGGTTCGTGAAATTCGTTCTATTGGTCAGCTGTGATGAACACATTTCGAACTGTTAACTGTACAGAGAAAGTTGAATCAAGTTTTACCGCCCAACAACTGTATGTCGTAGTTTTAAAACGGACGTATGATTACCCCACCCCATCTACCCCATACCACCACACCCCTGCAGTATTCACATTTAATATTGAGTATATTTTAATATAGGCAAATACCACCGCTCCCCACAGGCAAATACCACCACACCTCACAGGCAAATACCACCACTCCTCACAGGCATATACCACAACATTCACAGGAAAATACCACCACTCCTCACAGGCAAATACCACCACACCTCACAGACAAATACCACCACTCCTCACAGGCAAATACCACCACTTCTCACAGGCAAATACCACCACTCCTCACATCCAAATACCACCACTCCTCACAGGAAAATACCACCACTCCTCCATACCACCCCTCCCCCACCCCACCGCCACAAAACACCCCAGCAAACACCCCTTCTAACACTGACAAAAGTGAGGCCACAGTAATTGCTCACGCGCTCACGTGTAAATTGTCCGATACAATCCTCACGAAGACGTTACATGATTGCTGCTCTGGCATTCTTAAGGTCAGAAATTATGGGATGCTTCGTGCTAGAATCATTATAAAACGTGAAGCCAATTAAAACACAGACTGAAATCACATAAAATTCTACATACCGTAATCACATTAAATCCTGGGTAGTTTATTACTGTGATAAGTTGAAATATGAGATAGATAATAAAACAAATAACAAAAACTTTAATAATAACAAGCTTTTAACTGCATTCAAAGTAGTAGAATAAAAAAGCGATCGTTAGGGGTATTTTATTTGCCATTTTGATGTTGAATATTGTACTTTTTAAAATTTAAATAGTCTCTACAAATGCTTTTTTAAAATTGACTTTCTTGCATTGTCAATGAAGACAAATGAATCTTGAAAGTATGAACGGAATAGCAATATTAAAAGTCGGTCATATCTGCTATTCAGGGGCGTAGCGAGGGGGGGGGCGGGGGGGGGGGGGACGACGACATATGTTCCCGGGTGCCGACCTTGGGGGGGGGGGCGCCAAATTGAAAGTGTGAGGGGGGGTGCAAATGAAAAGTTCGAGGGCGATGCAAATCGAAAGTTCGAGGGGGGCTGCAAATGGAAAGTTTGAGAGGGTGGGGGTGCAAGTGAAAAGTTCGAGGGGGGGGGGGGGTTGCAAATCGAAAGTACCGGGAAGGGTCGCTACGCCTCTGCTGCTATTATTGTGAATAATGTTTATTTTCAGAATTGAAAATATTGAATATTTTGATGATTTAGAGTATTTCGTTAAATTTGTGAATTTTATCCAAATTATTAAATTTGTCGAGTTAGCGTGTTTTGACACTTGTGTCAGTTGTAAGTTAATTCCTGTCTTTGTTCATTTGAGGTGATCTTTCTTCATGCCCTGAAAGTAAGTTGTCAATCGCATTCATTTTTGTTACTTAATTCACAGTCTTTAAGTTATGGACGTTAATCGACAAACAATTCTAAGATTTTGTATCACACACCATAAATGGAGAGAGAGAGAGAGAGAGAGAGAGAGAGAGAGAGAGAGAGAGAGAGAGAGAGAGGGAGAGAGAGAAACTGAAAGTGAGAGATGTGACGGTAAAACCGTTTAGGCTAGCTCCATTGTATTCTTCCACCACCCGCCACCCTCTACCTGCTCTATTACTCCCCGCCCCTCTCTACTGCTACGTACATCCATATATTTCGTCCCCCTCACAGGCCCCTCTCTAGTTGGCTAGATTGTCCACGTGACACCGCCAATGTTTTAATGAATATAAGGGGATGCAACAAAGACATCTCGCACTCTCCCAGCACTGAGCTCAGCTGGTGGTGTCGCACGCGGCGTTTGGGCCGTCGGCCCTACTCCTACGTGCATGGTTTTGTGTTATTTACTTCATTCATTCTATAATAACTGTATGGTTTGTAATACATATAAATAAGTATGATTCGTATGTTTAAGTTTTAAAAGTATAATAAATTAAATTGTACTATTGCAGTAACTTTGTGTTTTTAAGTAACTTATAGTTATTTGTATTTTACTACAGGCCGTAAACTGCGGGCATTGAGTTGACCCGTAGTCATCGGACCTGATATTGTATTTTATATACCGGCCGTAAACCCTTGCCAGAGTCAAGAGGTCATCGGACCAGGTTGTTATTACTTTAAGGCTGTAAACTGCGCACATTGAATTGTAGCGTAGTCATCAGACCTTCAGCTTGCCACTATTAAGTTCACTTATTATACTTATTAATATTACTGCATTAGCTGCTGAAACTTATTATTACTTTACCCTGTCCGTGACTTAGTGCACGTGACAGTTGAATACATACTGAAAATTACATTTAATTTTACTATATTCCCGGTAAAGAAGCGGCACAGACCCTCTTACCGGTTGAATACCAGCATTTTACTGATTATTACAATTAACACGGTAATAATATTACTACATTTATCTTTTACCGTTAACATGGGGGCTCGTCAAACTAAATACTAGACACGAGTTAGCCACTCGTATTTGAATAAATCCTGCTGTTTCACATATTTGAATTTTACTGCTGTTGTTGACTTTGAATTTTCAGAAAAAATATTTCTGTGTGTATTGCTACCTGTTCAAGAAGTATTCTGTACAACTGACGGCTGCACAAGAAGGGCAAGACCACTGGAATTGTAGCTAAGTGTCAAGTTTTAGCTTTTGACTCTGACTTACTACGTTGATTCCTCTAGTTTTAATTTTAAAACTGGTCTCTTGTTCTTGTAGTTAGCTTAGTAGTCTATTATTTGTAGAATAGGCCTACTTCTGTTAGTCTGTCAAATACTTTTCTCTTAGTTACTAGGTGTTATTGTTAGGCGTAACCCGGTACACGGCTTGAGCACACGCGTGTCACGTTACCCGTGTCAACGTCCTCGCTAGGCTGCATAATGAGTTGCTCCACTAGCATCCCCGCCCTTATCAGGTACGCCATTGACTATGGCTACGAAGGGGCGGCACTCAGTGCATTTGTTAAACAAAGATACCAAGAGAATTTAGAAGACTTACATGAAGAAGAGGAACGAAGAAAACAAAGATACCAAGAAAATTTAGAAGACTTACACGAAGAAGAAGAACGAAGAAGATTAGACGAAGAAGAACGATTAAATGAACTGCAGTGGGAGGAAGAAATTAAATTAAAAGAGAGAAAATGGGCTATAGAGGCCAGGTTCTATGAATTTGAACGATCGGAATGGGGTAGTATCGAAACAACAGAAAAACAAGAAGACGAAATGTTAAAAGATGCCAGCATATCAATAGCTGAGAGAATTATTATTTTTAAGGAACGAATAAAAAGAATGACAGAAACGAAAGCACGCTTGCAGATAGCCGAGCAGGCAATGCTTGAGCAGCTGAAAAACATGATCATAGAACCTGAACCAACACCCGCAACTACACCCGACACACCAACCCTACCAGATATTCAGAATCATGATGCTACACTGAGCCATAAAAGGGACTTAATTAAAATTACTTCCCCTGCCCCGACTGAATCATCAATAAACACAACACCGGATGCTCCGGTCGACCTTAATTACACAGCACGTCAAGAGCCGAAGAGACAAAACAACAAACCAACCACTGTCAGCCTTATCGGCCCCATAGGTCTACATACTAAACCTTACCAGCCCCTCGCTAATGGAAAAAAATTCGCCGACGAGAGAAGAATCGCTCTGGGTCCAAAACCCCGCCCACCCACCCACACCTTGATGAAACAATGGTCCAAGGACACCGGCCTAAGTTATCGGGAGACGTGCCGTCTGCTCTACAGCTGTTGTACCGTGGTCTACCCATCTCTCATTACTGGCGCTTCACCTTTTGCCACCCACCCCATCCTGAGTTTTGATAAGTCACTAAACATAACTTAGCTAGTTAGACTTAGGGTGGAATTTCTTAGTAAGTCATGGTCCATTGCCTGAACTTAGCTCTATTCCAGCCTTGCACTTAATTAATGCAAGCTGCCAGTTAAATAATATTGAAGCTATTTTATGACTTACTTTGATATATGTTGTATACACAAGCATTACTTAAAAAAAAAAAATTCTATGGGCATTTATCATTGTCATATCTTATGTAATCATACATTCATATCTATGCATAACTTTGTTGTTTTCCTTTGTTCTTGCAGTATTTTTCACAGGTTTCCATTGACTTCTTAGACCTGGTTGTCATACTTCTAAAACAGAACTTGGCGTTAGTTAATTTCATGAATACAATGTAAACTTATACTGAAAAAAATGTCATTATTCACTGTTGTCTTATTACAATTTACATAAAAAACAATTTTTGTTTACTAAAGCCTCTAATGGCATATCACAATGTTGTAATTGATGTTGGACTAATGTATACTCATTTTGCCTGTCAATGGCCTATGTTCCAATGTATTAACTTTTCGTCTAAAGACAATGTACATTTACATTTTTGTATAACCATACTTTGAAAGGCACATAAAAAAATATTGTTTTATTTCTGGTCCGCTGAAAATTGCGTTACCACGAAATTTTAGCGAGGAAAGGGGGTGTGACGGTAAAACCGTTTAGGCTAGCTCCATTGTATTCTTCCACCACCCGCCACCCTCTACCTGCTCTATTACTCCCCGCCCCTCTCTACTGCTACGTACATCCATATATTTCGTCCCCCTCACAGGCCCCTCTCTAGTTGGCTAGATTGTCCACGTGACACCGCCAATGTTTTAATGAATATAAGGGGATGCAACAAAGACATCTCGCACTCTCCCAGCACTGAGCTCAGCTGGTGGTGTCGCACGCGGCGTTTGGGCCGTCGGCCCTACTCCTACGTGCATGGTTTTGTGTTATTTACTTCATTCATTCTATAATAACTGTATGGTTTGTAATACATATAAATAAGTATGATTCGTATGTTTAAGTTTTAAAAGTATAATAAATTAAATTGTACTATTGCAGTAACTTTGTGTTTTTAAGTAACTTATAGTTATTTGTATTTTACTACAGGCCGTAAACTGCGGGCATTGAGTTGACCCGTAGTCATCGGACCTGATATTGTATTTTATATACCGGCCGTAAACCCTTGCCAGAGTCAAGAGGTCATCGGACCAGGTTGTTATTACTTTAAGGCTGTAAACTGCGCACATTGAATTGTAGCGTAGTCATCAGACCTTCAGCTTGCCACTATTAAGTTCACTTATTATACTTATTAATATTACTGCATTAGCTGCTGAAACTTATTATTACTTTACCCTGTCCGTGACTTAGTGCACGTGACAGTTGAATACATACTGAAAATTACATTTAATTTTACTATATTCCCGGTAAAGAAGCGGCACAGACCCTCTTACCGGTTGAATACCAGCATTTTACTGATTATTACAATTAACACGGTAATAATATTACTACATTTATCTTTTACCGTTAACAAGAGAGATAGAAAATGAAAACGAAAGAGAGAGAGAGAATAGTTGTAGATAACTTTAGAAATTAAAAAAGAAAAGAAATAGAAGTCAAGAGGATAAACTGGGTGTAAAAAGGTAATGGCGAATACGGTGCGGGGTTAGGAGAGACAGAGAAGATCTGGAGAGAGAGGAGAGAGAGAGAGAGAGAGAGAGAGAGAGAGAGAGAGAGAGAGAGAGAGAGCGTAGTTAAACACAGACATTTTAACGGCGGGTGTAAAATGTAGCTAGAGTGACTGTAGCCATAAATGTAGCACTAAATGTGGGTAGCCACTAGAATTCTATTAGCGCCTGAATGGGGCGGGCATTTGAAAAGAATACTGGAAGTTTAGAAGTTTGTGGTGGTTAGTGAATTGGTGTTGGTTTTGGTTGGTGTATTGGTGGTGGTGGTTGGTGTATTGGTGTGATGGTGGTTGATGTATTATGTTGTAAGTTTTATTGGGATTTTCTTTTCAATTGAACGACACGGTAAGATGGTAGAGTTAACGGCTGCTAACTCGAAGGTCTCCAGTTCGGATCCAAGGCTCGAGTTGGCACGGGCCTAGAATGGGGTTGGAGACCTGGTTAAGATCAAGCTTGGGTGACAGGCTGAAGCTGGGCTTGGGTCTGGGCTTGGGTCTGGGTCTGGGCTTTGGTCTGGGCTTGGGTCTGGGCTTGGGTCTGGGCTAGGGTCTGGGTCTGGGTCTGGGCTTGGGTCTGGGCTTGGGTCTGGGCTAGGGTCTGGGTCTGGGTCTGGGCTTGGGTCTGGGCTTGGGTCTGGGCTTGGGTCTGGGCTAGGGTCTGGGTCTGGGTCTGGGCTTGGGTCTGGGCTTGGGTCTGGGCTTGGGTCTGGGCTTGGGTCTGGGCTTGGGTCTGGGCTTGGGTCTGGGCTTGGGTCTGGGCTTGGGTCTGGGTCTGGGTCTGGGCTTGGGTCTGGGCTTGGGTCTGGGTCTGGGTCTGGGCTTGGGCCTGGGCTTGGGTCTGGGGTACGGCTGGTCTTGCGGCTTGAGACATGCGACATGTTTGCACGTGTTTATCTAGTCAAAGTTAATAAATCGTGTACATACTTTTATTTTTTTACATTGTGTCTAGCTATAGGCAGATCCCAGAAGGGGCATGTTGGCTTAACCCTAGACCCTCCAAATCCACACTCTAAATGCAACTGAGAAACTAGATCCGCTTACGCATGTGGTGAATAAAAAAAAATCTTACTTAAAAAAACTGAGAAACAAAGATTTGTAAAAACTGTAATGAAGCTGTGGCGATGACAATAAAACAAAACGCCAAAGCCGTGTGGCTGTTGGTGCAACGAGAAGAAAGTAATTTGTCTTCCACCGGGGGATTCCCCAACGGGCGGGGCTAAAAAAACGAGATGGAATTTAGGCGAGATTGGGACTTCCTTCTGTTTGAAATGTGGGATTTTTTTTAAAGTGGTATTTTGCAGGGGTGGTATTTTAAAAGGTTAGGGAATTAAAAATGGGCAATTTCAAAAAGTACTTTGAAAATGTATTTAAGATGGTAGAACTAAAAGTATTTTATTAGTTGTCTTTTGAGTGCGTTTAGGGTTAGAATAAGCTCCTTGCTTAGCCATCTTTAGATTTCCCAAATCTATTCATGTACCTATTAGTATTAGGGCTAGGTGCCAGGTATCGTATAGAGACATCCCCGCTAACTTAACTATTTTGTAGTTTGTTTAACCGATTTTCTTACCCCAATTCGAATGAGTTTATAGTTATGGATATCTGTAGAGTAAGTTCTATAAATAAGAATGATTGCACGGAGTGGGTTATGTTTTGGGGTATTAACTATTCTCGCGAATCATTTAAAAACATACACAGTGTTATATATAACTTCCATTCTAACCAGATAACATTGTTTCGCATTATTTTAACACGTTACATTTCAAATATAACACATTGACACACAAGCGTTCAAAGAAATACTGCAAACAGTTCGATCTTACTTTTTTATCAATGGAAATTGGGAGTTTCTTAGACATAATAGTGTGTTTTAGCATCTCTGTTAGACCAACCCAATGTATATATATATATATATATATATATATATATATATATATACATACATACATACATACATACATACATACATACATACATACATACATACATACATACATACATACATACATACATACATACATACATACATACATACATACATACATACATACATACATACATACATACATACATACATACATACATACATACATACATACATACATACATATGTGTATATATATATATATATATATATATATATATATATATATATATATATATATATATATATATATATATATAATGCTGTGTTACCTGGTGTACATTGTCGTACAGCCACCATACCCCTTCCACCCAGCAGTTACAACACTGTTGAGTGTGTCTTAACAAAACCAGTGTAAAGGTTTTCCCAAATGACGATACATGACCCATCCCACCCATCTCACACCCATCTCACACCCATCCCCCCATCTCACACCCATATCACCCATAGCCCCAGGTAACCCAAACCCATAACACACCCATCTCCCACCCATCCCACCCCCTCACCCAATAACCCGAGGGATCCCCCTCACCGTACCCCCCTCCACACACACACAATAACCCGAGGGATCCCCCTCACCGTACCCCCCCCCCCCCCACACACACAATAACCCGAGGGATCCCCCTCACCGTACCCCCCCCCCCCACACACACAATAACCCGAGGGATCCCCCCTCACCGTCCCCCCCTCTCACACAATAACCCGAGGGATCCCCCTCACCGTACCCCCCCCACACACAATAACCCGAGGGATCCCTCACCATCCCACCCATCCCACCCCCTCCACGAACCCCGGCTATCTGCCTCTCGCTTTGTTTGTGTCAACAAAGGGCCGCCACTCGCAGAAAACCTCCACTATCTTGTCATTATTGCTTTTCTTCAATTGAAACACCGATTACCTCCCCGTGTTATCGGAACCACGAGGGGGGGGGAGGGGGGAATATCGTTGCTGAACGCCCTCAAATGGGCAGCTATGTAAACGCCGCTAAATCTTGATAAGAAGTGTCTGGCGTTATTTCCCCGCCAAGCGTATTATTACCGCCCCTGATTTGTGTTGGGTTGGGGGTGACGAGGGGGGGGGGGTGGTGGATGTGTTTATTGTATTGAGAGGGGGGGGGGGGGGTTCAAAACGAGACAAGAAGTTAATGTCATAATATTTTTGCCGATCCTATAGAAATATTGACAGGAATATACATTAATGGTATACGTTGGTTTTTTTTTTCTGTATTTCTTTCAATGTTAGGATTAATGTTAGGATCAGAGCTTAGGTTGGAAGTGCAGTGGTCCCTTAGTCTCGACAGACTATTGGATGATAACATCTTCGAAAACCAGACGCGTGGCCTGGGCAGCAAGATGAGGAGAGCCCGATGTCTCTCAGGCCATCTCTCTCCACACAGCT